CTCTATCTGTCTCTATCTGTCTCTGTCTGTCTCTATCTGTCTCTGTCTGTCTCTATCTGTCTCTATCTGTCTCTCCCTGTCTCTATCTGTCTCTGTCTGTCTCTATCTGTCTCTATCTGTCTCTGTCTGTCTTTATCTGTCTCTTTATCTGTCTCTCTGTGCTTCTTTATCTGTCTCGCTCTGTCTCTCTCGGTCTGCGCTGTCTCCTTCTGCTGCGGCATGCTGCTGCTTCTGCTGCTGCTTCTGCTGCTGCTTCCGGAGCTGCGTCTGCTGCTGCTTCTGCTGCTGCTTCTGCTGCTGCTTCTGCTGCTGCGTGCTCCTAATAGGAAGGCCAAAGATGCTGCCTTTGCTGCACCTCTAGCAGCAGCACCTGCAGAGTCAGTAGCAGCTGCAGCAGCAGCAAACAAGTCTTGTTGCGCAGCAGCAGTGGAGGCCTTTAATGCCTGCGACACAAACAAATAGCTTCACTCTCCCTCCCCTTCTTTAGGCCCCAAGCAGCAGCAACAGCAGCAGCAGCAGCAGCAGCAGCAGAAGCAGCAGCAGCAGCAGCAGCAATAGCAGCAGCAATAGCAGCAGCAGCAGCAACAGCAAACGCACGTTAGAATAGTCCCCCAGCTCCAGCAAGCAGCGAGCCCTCCAAGCGTTTGCTGTTGCAGCAAAGGAAGCGACGCCACATGGCGCAGCAGCAGCAGCTGCAGCAGCAGCAGCAAGACGGCCCTCAGCTGTCCTCAATGCTTCTGCAAAGTACCGCTGCAGAGCCTTGCTGCTGCTGCTGTTGCTGCTACTGTTGCAGATGCCGTTGTTGCTGTTGCTGTTGCTGCTGCTGCTGCTGCTGTAGCTGCTGCTGTTGCTGCTGCTAATGTTCGTGTCTGTCTGCTTGAGTACCCCACAGGAATGCTGCTTTGCTGCATCAAGAAGCTGCAGCAGAAAAGGAGCAGCAGCAACAGAATGACAGCTACAGTTCGGATTCCCAACGATTGCCTCATCAGCAGCAACAGCAGCAGCAACAGCAGCAGCATCAGCAGCAGCAGCAGCAGCAAGAGAGGGCCTTACCTGCAGCAGCCGCGACTCTTGTTGTGTCTCTTTTGTTATGCTGCAGCAGAGAGAGCTCCAAGAGAGGAGTTGGGCTTCAGCTAATGCGGTGTCTCTAAACCAAGGAGACAGCAGCCTCCCCCTGCTGCTGCTGCTGCTGCTGCTGCTGCTGCTGCTGCTGCTGTTGCTGGAAAGCAGCAGGAGGGAAGCCTCCAGTCTAAGACCTGCAGAAACAGCTACTAGAAGATGCTGCTGCAGCGCAGCAGCGCGCAGCAGCTGCTGCAGCGCCAAGCAGCGCAGCACTCGCCGAGGTGTGTCCTGCTGCACAAATGTCTCTTCGCCAGCTGCTGCTTCTGTTGCTGCTGTTGTTTCTGCTGCTTCCTTCGCCGTTGCTGCTGCTGCTGCTGCTGCTGCTGTTTCGCGTGCCGCAGCAGCGAGGATTGCAGCAACCACAGCGCGGCGCAGCAGGGCCTTATCTCTCCACGAATTTGCTGCTGCAGAGGGGGTGCCTGATCCTTGCAGCTGCTGCTGTTGCTGCTGGTGCTGCTGCTGTTGCTGCTGGTGCTGCTGCTGTTGCTTCTGTTGCTGCTGCTGCAGCTGCTGCAGCAAATAGGTGGGCAGGCGTCGACGCCACTTCCAGCGGAGTTGCTGCAGTGCTGCAGCAGCATCAGCATCTCCAATGCTCACCTGCTGCTGCTGCTGCTGTTGTTGGTGGTGCTGCTGCTGCTGCTGTTGCTGCTGTTGCTGCTGATGTCGTTGCTGCTGCTGCTGCAGTTGCTTTGCTTTCCGCAGCAAAGTGAATATGCGTGGCTGGCGAAGATGAAGCAGCTGCAGCACCGCCAGACGCCCCGCTAAGTGCGGCAGCTGCAGCAGCAACGCAGCTTGTGCTGCTGCATGCAGCCCCAAAATGCTGAGCAGAAGTAAACCCAGAAGCGACACACTGAATGATTAGTTAGTCGAACAGCAGCAGCAGCACCAGCAGCAACAGCAGCAACAACAGCAACAGCAACGGCAGCAGCAACAACAACAGCAGCTGCAACAACAGCAGCAGCAACTCCAGCAGCAACAACAGCAGTAGCAGTCTCATCAACATAAGCACCTGCAACAACAGCAGCAGCACCAAGGGCAGCAGCAGCAGCAGCAGCAGCAACAGCAATTACCTATTCGGGTTGAGGCGCAAGGCTTTAGCAGCATAGCCGAGGGCCTCTTGAAGCAGCAATTTGCTGCGGACCTTTTCTGACGCCTGCTTCGCAGCAGCAGCAGCAGCAGCAGAAGTAGCTGCTGCTGCTGCTGCTCTTGCTGCAGCAAGTGGTGCTGCAGAGGGGGCCCAAGGCCGGGGGACAGCAGCTCCACGACAACAGCGGCGACGAATGAGGCTGCTAGCGCCTTTGTTTCTTGCTGCTGCTGCTGCTGCTGCTGTTCCTGCTGGTACTGCTGCTGCTGCTGCTGCTGCTGCAGGGCGCAAGGAGGCTTTTGCTGCAGCAGCAGTACAGTCTCCTGCGGCATCAAGGCAGCAGACAGCCAACCTGCAGCAGCAAAAGGCAGAAGGTGCAGAAGCAGGGATATATTTTGCTGCTGCTGCTGTAGCTGCTGCTGCAGCTGCTGTTGCATGCAGCTGGGGCCCCCTGATGCTTGCTGCTCTAGGGGCCCCCATTAAAGAGAGGGTATAGAAAGGAGACAACTTGCCTGGAGAAGGCGACGGAGCGGAGTCTGCTGCTTCTTGCTGCTGCTGCTGCTGCAGCAGCAGCAGCATAACTCTTGAAGGCCTCGCTCCACTGCTGCTGCGCCCGCAGCAAATCACCAGCAGACAGGGGGCCCCACACTTCTGCTTTGTAGTAAGAGCAGCAGCTTCGGCTGTATTGACGAGAGAAGAAGACGGGGGCCCTAGGGGCCCGCATCTCTTTATCTTTTTTAATTGCTGTCTTCTGCTGCTGATGCTCTAGCTGCTGAGGTGTATACGCACCTCATGGAGCCCCTACGTTGCTGCTGCTGCTGCTACAGCAACAGAAGGAGCAGCAGGAGAAAATTATTCAAAACTTCCGCTGCTGTTGCTGCTGCTGCGGTTGCTGCTGCTGCTGTTGCTGCAGCTCCTGTTGCAGCTACTGCTATTGCTCCTGGTGCTGTTGCTGCTGCTGCTATTGCTGCTGCTGCTGCTAGCATGAGTGAAAGGACCCGAGGCCCTCGGGGCCCCGGGCAGCAGCAGCAGCAGCAGCACCACCACGACCAGCAGCAGCAGCAACAGTAGAGGTTCCTCGCAGCAGCAGCAGAAAGAGAAGTAATTACTGAATCAAACTTCCACACTATAACAGCAGCACAAAGTCCTTACATAAACATCAAACCCTCTAAGGGGGCCCCCTAAGAGGGGCCCCCTTCTTAGCTATCGGGCCCCCGGGGGGCCCCCGGGGGCCCGCTGAGGCCCCCAGGGGCCCCCGGGGGCCCCTGGGGGCCCCTGGGCCTCATCGAGGTATGCCGCAGCAGAAGAGAGGTAATAAGGAAGTTCTGTATTGAAATAATATTACTTTTTAATAAAATTTGTCTTTTCTTTTTAATTGTTGTTTGTTTCACTGATTATTGCTGCTGTTGCTGCTGCTGGGATTCAGCAGCAGCAGCAGCAGCAGCAGCAGCAGCAATCGGAGCTGCAGCAGCAGCAGACAGCCACTGAACTGCAGCAGAAGGAAAGACCTACAGGCGAAGCTTAATACAACCTTCTTCTATTTTCTTTGACTCATTTAAACTCTCTTTACTCTTTGGGGGCTTTAAGAGCTGCAGCAGCTGCTGCAGCAGCAGCAACAGCAACAGCAGCAGCAGCAGCGAGTGTCCCTGCACCGCAGCAACACGGCGGAGACTGCGCCTTTCTCTTTTTTAAATATATATCATCTGTCTCTTCTTTACTTTTTGTTTGTTTGTTTGTTTGTTGTTTGTCTTTGTCTCTTCTCTGCTGCCGAGCAAAGCAAATTATAATAATATTACTTAAAGCCCGACAGCAGCAAACCACCAGCAGCAGGCGCTACACCTTGCTGCTGCTGCTGCTGCTGCTGCTGCTGCCTTTCTTTCTGAGGGCTTGAGGCATACAGGCACTGTTTTGTATGCAGCAGCAGCAGCAATAGGAACAGCAACAGAAGCAGTAGCAGCAGCAGCAGCAGCAGCAGGGGCACAACCAGAGCAGCAGCACCAGCATCAGCCGCAGCACAACAACAGCAACAGCAGCAGCAGCAGCAGCACAAGCGGGTTAACTGTTCCTGTTTGTGGGGTGGGAGGAGGTGGGATCGAACGATCCCACTGGCTTCTTTCTTTGTTTGTTTTACTATTCATTTGTCTTTAACTCCTTAGGGTTGCTGCACTTGAGGTGTACGTACAGCCGGCATAGACCAGTGCGCTCAATTCAGCAGCAGCAGCAGCAGCAGCAGCAGTATGCAGCTACACTGGAAGCGATCCCGCAGCCGTGCTGTCTCCTCTCGGTCTTGGCTGCGCCGGCGAGCAGCAGCAAACAGCAGCAGCAGCAGCAGTAGCAGCAGCAGCAGCAGGTGGCGGTGGTCTCCCAGGCGGCCTCCAAAGAGACGAAGACAAAATAATGAGAGCAGAGATAAAACAAAGAGAAGAAGGCTGCAACTCTCTATCAAACGCAGCAGCAAGAATAAACAAAGCAGCTCTGCTTCTGAAGGCGGCAGCAGCAGCAGCAGCAAGAAGCGCTTCTTAAGGAGACACCGCAAAACAAATGAACAGCAAACAAAAAGAAGTCGCTTCAGATTTACACGCCGCAGCAAAGACAAGCAGCAGCAGCAGCAGCAGCGGACTCTCTCTCAAAGGCTGTGGCGCAGCAAACGAAAGACGGAGAATACACAGCAGCAGCAGCAGCAGCAGCAGCAGCAGAAGCGAACGATATCGAAGAAGCTGTGGCGCAGCAAAAGGAAAACAGAAAATGCAGAGCAGCAGCAGCAGCTGCGAACGATATCAATGAAGCTGTGGCGCAGCAAACGGAAGGAGAATACAGAGCAGCAGCAGCAGCAGCAGCAGCAGCGGACTCTCTCTCAGAGGCTGTGGCGTAGCAAACGGAAGACAGAAAATACAGAGCAGCAACAGCAGCAGCAGCAGCGAACGATATCAAGGAAGCTGTGGCGCAGCAAAAGAAAAACAGAGAATACAGAGCAGCAGCAGCAGCAGCAGCAGCAGCAGCAGCAGCAGCAGCGAACGATATCAAGCAAGCTGTGGCGCAGCAAACGAAGAACAGAGAATACAGAGCAGCAGCAGCAGCAGCAGCAGCAGCGGACTCTCTCTCAGAGGCTGTGGCGCAGTAAACGGAGGACGGGCAATACACAGCAGCAGCAGGAGCAGCAGCAGGAGCAGCAGGAGCAGCAGCAGCAGCAGCGGGGGCTCCTCAGCAAGAGATGGCGAAGCAGAAGCAGGCAGCAAACAACACAGCAGCAGCAACAGGAGGAGCAACAGCAGCAACAGAAACGACAGAAGGTCTTCAGTGGCAGCTGGCGTCTCAAGGCGAAGAAGCAGAATGAACAGCAGCAGCAGCAGCAGCAACATGAGGTCACAGAAAACAGCAGCAGCAGCAGCAAAACACGAACTCTCCTTCCTTTCAGCAGATACATGCCCACAAAGAGACAGCAGCAACCAACTGAAGGCGTGCAGCAGCAGCAGCAGCAGCAGCAGCAGCAGCAGGGAGACAATGCTCACCAGCAGCAGCAACAGCAACAGCAAAAGAGCACCGGACGCCTTCTCCCCCTCAGCTGGAAGAGGGAGCAGCCGCAGCAGCAACTGCAGCAGCAGCAGCAGCAGCAGCAATGGGATGAAGCCATTGCCCCGGTAGGAGAGACAGAAGCAGCAATATCCGCTTCTCCAGTGCAGCACCTCAGCAGCCAGAAGAACCCTCAACGTCATGAGCAGCAGCAGCAGCAACAGCAGCAGCACGAGCTGCTGCTGCAGCAAGAAGTGCTGCACGACATGCAGCTGTTACGTAAGGAGATGGACCTGCATCAGCAGCAAGAGCCAGAGTCGAAGCAGCAGCAGCAGCAGCAGGATGAAGGGCATCAGCAGCAGCAGCAGCAGCAGCAAGTGCAGCAGCAAGTGCAGCAGCAGCAGCAATCCCGCGAGTACCGCTGGCGAGCAAAGAAAGAAGAGACAGATAAACAGCTGAGGAGACAAAACGCACAGCGCCCTCAAACACATCACTGGGTGAAGGGGCACTGGCAGCAGCAAACAGAGGAGCAGCAGGAAGAAGAACTGCAGCACGAACTGCAGCAGGAGCCACAGCAGGAACTGCAGCAGGAGCCGCAGCACGAACTGCAGCAGGAACTGCAGCAGCAGCAGCAGCAGCAGCAGGAAGAAAGGGCACATAAGGAGACAAAAAGGAGACACCGCATGGGGAGAAGGGGCGAACGAGATAAACCATCACAGGAGCAGCAGCAGCAGCAGCAGCAAGCTGAACAGCAGCAGCAGCAGCAGCAGCATACGGGGAAAGACAGCCATACACCTGGGAAGCAGCATATGGGCTCCCCACTTGAGCACTTGCAGCAAGAAGCAGCAGCAGCAGCAGACCCGCAGCAGCAGCAGCAGCAGCAACAGCTGCAGCAGCAAGAGGGAGAGGAGATGTCGCTGTCCGATCTGCTGCTGCCGCTGCATGCAGCCGCAGCCCCTCTCCCTGCAGAGCATTGCAACGAACAGCCGCCAGCAGCAGCAGCAACAACAGGAGAAGCAGCAGCAGCAACAGCAACAGGAGAAGCTGCAGCAGCTGCTGCTGCTACGCCGGCAACAGGAGAAGCATCAGTATTAGCAGCAGCAGCTGCTGCTACTGCTGCTGAAGCCGACTATGCTGCTGCTCCCGCTGCTGCTGCTGCTGCTGTTGCAGAGCAGCAGCCCCCAGCAGCACATGAGGAGACAGCAGAGAAGAGAGACAGAAAGAAGGAGACAGCAAAAGAAAGAACAAAGGAGACGAAACAACAAAAGAACGAACAGCAGCAGCACGCGAAGGCGACAGCAAAAGAAGAGACAGAGACAGCAAATATGCAGCCCTTCGCTGTAGAATGTCGCTTGCTGCAGCAAAAGGAAAAGCCTCATTCCAAGCAGCAGCAGCAGCAGCAGCAGCAGCAGCAGCTGGAACGGGAGCAGCAGCACGAGCAGCAGCAGGAGCAGGTACAGGAGCACCAAGAGCAGCTACACGAACAGCAGCAGCAGCTAGTGTTGCATGAACAGGAACAGCAGCAGCAGCAGCAACCGCACGAACAGCAGCAGCAGCAGCAGCAGGAGCAGCAACAGCAGCAAGAAGATCTCAAAGAGACGCAAAAGGCAGCAGAGGAGGAGACAGAAGGAGACACATCCCAGCGGCAGCACCGCGGTCTCCGCAGCCGCAGAAGAAAACCCCACACCCAGCAGCAGTCTCCTGAAGCAGCAGCAGCAACAGCAGCAGCAGCAGGAACGGAAGAGGAAGCAGCAGCAGCTGCAGGAGAAGCCTCCAAAGCAGCAGTGAAAGGAGTAACAGCAGCAGCAGCAGTTGCTGCTGCTGCAACAGCAGCTGCAGCTACAGCAGCAGCAGCAGCAGCATTAGGCGGCGGCTGTGACAATGAGCAGCAGGAAGCAGACCGCAGCAATCAGCAGCAGCAGCAGCAACACAACAAAACACGAAGCAAAGGAGACAGAAGCCGGAGACGCAGAGGTGAATTTGAGTTGCCGCTGCGGAAGAACAGCAGCAACAGCAGCAGCAGAGCCTCTCCTCCGCAGCAGGAGCAGCAGGAGCAGCAGCCGCCGGAGCAGCAAGAACAGCAGCAGCAGCAGCAGCAGCAGCAGCAGGAAGAAGGGTCTACGGCCCTGGAGACACCTGCACGCTGCGATGTACGCCGGGTTCTCAGGCTGCTGCTGCAGAAAGGAGACAGTCTCCTTGCTGCTGCTCTCTGTCTCTTTTCTTCTTCTTCTCAGAGTGCAGCAGCAGCAGAAGGAGACAGCCGCCAGCAAACAAACACCGACAGAGACAACTGAATAAACAAATAAACAAACAAACAAACAAACAAACAAACAAGTTAAACAAATAAATAAACAAATAAATAAACAAATAAACAACAAAGAGATATAAACAAACAAACAAATAACCAAACACAGACAAAAAGGGACAGCAAACAAATAAAAAAATAAACAAATAAACAAGTAGAGACAGAGAGAAAGACAGAGAAACAAACAAACAAACAAACAACAGAAAAATAAACAAAAGACTGCAGCACGAACGGCAAGTGAGTGCTGAACTGTCTCCTTCTTCTCTCTTTTCGTCTCCTTTTGTCTCTTCTTTATCTTTCTGTCTCTTCTTTATCTTTTTCTGTCTCCTTTGCTGCCTTTCGTTGTCTCCTTCTCTGTTTGTTTGTTGTAAGCAAACAAACAGAGACAGATAAACAGCAGAGATTAAACGCCTCTGTGCATGTCTCCTCTTACTCACACGCAAACCCTAAACCCTAAACCCTAAACACTAAACACAGCAGCAGTATCAGCAGCAGCAGTATCAGCAGAAGCAGCAACTTCTGATGCTGCTACGTTCGGTACAGGAGAGACAGAGCAACTCTCTCTTCAGGCGGAGGTGTAGCTAGCTGTAGCTAGCTAGACGTAGCTAGCTGTATCTATCAGTAGCTAGCTCTATCTAGCTGTAGCTAGCTGTAGCTAGCTGTAGCTAGCTAGCTGTATACAGCAGATGGCCTCGTGCTGTGAATGGGCTTCTTGTAGGGGCGGAGGCGATTTGCTGCCTTTCTTTCGCTGGTTTGCTGCTGCTGCTGCTGCTGCTGCTGCTGCTCCAGCTGTTGCAGCTGCTGCAACACGAACGCGCAGCAGCAGCAGCAGCAGCTGTCTCCGTTGCTGCTGCTGCTTCCCGCCAGCAGCATTTTTCTTTCAACAGACACAAAGGCAAACTGTTGCTGCATGCAAAGCCAACATAAAGAAGACAGCAAAAGAAATGAGATAAGACAAAGAGGAGACACAAGATAAAAAGGAGACAGCGAAGAGAGGAGACAGTTTACAAAGAGACAGCTTCAGCTGTCTATCCACCTCCTCCTGTCTGCTCCAGTGCCTCACAGCCACCCTCACACGCACAGCACAGCTAGCTAGCTAGCTAGCTAGCTAGCTACACATTAGCTAGCTAGGCGGTAGCTAGCTAGATAGTAGCTAGCTCAGCTACTTACCGTTTCACACAGCTAGCCTAGCTGCTTAGCTAGCTAGCTCGATAGTCTAGTAGCCAGCTAGATAGCTAGCTGGGCTAGGTAGACAAGCTAGCTAGCTAACTAGGTTATCCAGCTAGCTAACTGGCTCGCCACCTAGCCTAGCTAGCTAGCCACTGAGTCACGTACTCAGCCTAGCTAGCTAGCTATCCATTTTAGTTAGCTAGCCCCTCTATCTACCTAGCTCCTCTAGCTAGCTAGCTCCTCCAGGTAGCTAGCCCCTCTAGCTAGCTAGCCCCTCCAGCTAGCCTAGTTAACTAGCTAGCCTATTTAACTAGCTTCTCTAGCTAGCACAGCTAGCTAGCTGCTATAGCTAGCCTTTCTAGTTTGTTTCCCTAGATAGCTGCTCTAGGTAGCCTAGCTAGCTAACTTCTCTAGCTAGCTTCGATAGCTAGGCTAGCTAGCTAGCCCGAGCTAGCGGTGTGGGGAGGGCTGAGGTGAGCATACACCCGAAGGAAACCCTACAGCAATAGAATTAAAATAACAAAAAACAAACAAAAAGAAATACAAGAGAAGCAGAAGACAAAAGCAGCAGACTCTGCCTCTTCTATTAATGTATCTACAGCAGCAGCAGCAGCAGCAGGAGCAGCAGGAGCAGCAGCAGCAACGGGGACAGCAGCAATAGCTATATCAAAGGGATTAAAAATTTAGAGAGAAGAAACTAAATAAATGTAAAGACAAACTAAATTATTCTTGCTGCTGCTGCTGCTCTTGCTGCAGCAGCTGCTGCTGCCTGCAGCTGCGGTGGGGGGTGTTGCGGGCCCCGGGGGCTGTCGGTGGTGGGGCCCCCCGCTGCTGCTGCTGCTGCTGCTGCTGTTGCTGTTGCTGCTGTGTGGAGGCAGGAACGAGTTTCTTTTATGAAGATCTCCTCTTTGCTGCCTTTCTATGACTCTCTTTTAGCCGTCTCTCCTCGTTGCTGCAGCAGCACAGCAATAACAACGCGCCTGCTGCTGCTGCTGCTGCTGCTGCTGCTGCTCCCGGCGCCGCCGTAACAGCCGCAGCAGCAGCAGCAGCATATGAGCCACAGGCAAAACGATTGCATCACCTGCAGCAGCAGCAACACCAGTTCTCTTTCCAGGATGTCTGCGTGGTAGCAGCAGAAGCTGCTGCTACGGCTACACCTCAAAATGCTGCAGCAGCAGCGCCGCTGCAAGGCAGCAACGGGGGGGCTGCCGAACCCAGCAGCAGCAGCAGCAGCAGCAGCAGCAGCAACGGACAGCTCAGCAGCAGGGGCTTCATTCTTCCCTGCCTTCCTTGAAGGCTCCGTCGTGCGGCCGGTGTTGCTGGGTGGGGAGAATACGCCTCCTGCACAACAGTACAGCAGCAGCAGCAGCAGCAGCAGCAGCAGCAGGAGCTGCTGCTGCAGCAGCTGCTGCAGCAGCAACAGGGGTAGCACTAGTGAAGGCTGCATGTGCGGTGGCATGGCGTCTGCAGCATACACCGCAGCAGGAGAGAGCCGGGGTGAAGAAGCCACAGCAGCAACAGCAGCAGCATCAGCACCAGGAACAGCAGCAGCAGCAGCAGCAGCAGCAAAATGTCTCCCGGATATAGCGTTAAGTGATGTGGTTTGCATGAAGCAGACCCTGAGGGCTTTAGCAGCACGCCGTGTGTATGCAGCAGCAGCAGCAGCTGCTGCTGCTGCAGATGCCCCTTTTAGTGATTCAGCAGCAGCAGCAGCAGCAGATTTTGGGGGGCGCCCGTCTTCTGCGCAAGCAACAGCAGGAAAGGCAGCAGCGGCAGCAGCAACAGCAGCAGCAGCAGACACTGCTCTATTTGCGGCGCAGCGGCGTTCTCTGCTGCAGCAGCAGATAAACCCAGGGCCTTTGCTGCTGCAGCAGCAGCAGCTGCATGCATGCGGCCGCGAGGGAGTAGCGGGAATTCAGCTGTACGTACACCTCAAACGTGCTGCAGTGGTAGTTGGAGACACCGTAATGAAGACAGTGCGCACTTCAAGCAACCCCGTTGCTGCTGTTCTAGCGCCTGCTGCTGCTGCTCCTGCTGCTGCTGCTGCAGCAACAGCAGCAGCAGCAGCAGGATATACTTTGCAGCAGCAAGGCGAGCCGCTGCGACTGTGGCTACTTGAAAGAAGAGGGGCTGCTCGCCACAGCGTCGTTGAGTGCTTCAGCCTCAGCAGCAACAGCAGCAGCAGCAGCAGCGCAGCAACAGCAGCAGCAGCAGCAGAGGGACGAATTTCTGTCGACATTCCTGCTGCTGCTGCACAAATATGGGTCAGTGCTGCTGCTGCAGGCGCTGCCTTCGTGCCGCCGCACTCAAACTCCTGGCTGCGACAGCAACAGCAGCAGCAGCAGCAGCAGCAGCAGCAGCAGCTAGCGCCAGAGGCTACTGTACCGCTGCTTTATTCGATATCTACTCGTAGAGGGGGAACCCTCAGACCTGTGCGCTTCCGCTGCTGCAGCAGTTGTCTATACGGCAGCAGCAACAGCAGCAGCAGCAGCAGCAGTTGTTGCAGCAGTTGCGGAAATCCTGCTTCATTTGTGACCTTTACTCATGCTAGTGGCAGCAGCAGCAGCAGCAGCGGTAGTAGCAGCAGCAGCAGCAGCAGCAGCAGCAAGGCTGCGATCGAGATATTAGGAATGATAGCGGAGCTGCCACTTGCTGTTGCGTTTGCTGCAGCAACGCAGCGTTTGCTGCTGCTGCTGCTGCTTCCTCTTGACGAAGAAGAAGGCTTACCGCTAATGGAGCAGCAAACGCAGCAGCAGCAACACGCAGCAGGCGGAGAACTACTGCTGCAGACACCTAAGCAGCAGCAGCAGCACCAACGACAACACGAGCAGCAGCGGCAACAAGAGGAGCAGCAGCAGCAGCAGCAGCAGCAGGTAAGCTGCTCTGAGGATTCTCCCCTGTATGAGCTGCAGCAGATCCGTTCCTTTGCATGCGCATCTGCAGCAGAAGGAGGAGCAGCGGGAGGCACTGCAGCAGGATCAGCAGCAAGTGCTGCTGCTGCTGCAACGGCGGCAGCAGCAAGTGCTGCTGCTGCTGCTGCAGTGCCGCAAGCACTCCAGCAGCAGGGCTACCACGCGGTGTCTCCCCCTGCGCTGCTGCTGCTGCCTTGGGGGAGGCCTGCTGCTGTTGAGTCGCGGTTGCGTTTGCTGCTGCTGCTGGAGAAGCAGCAGCAAGTGCTGTTGCTGCCACTCCCTGCATGCAGCACCTGCAGCAACAGCAACAGCAACAGCAGCAGCAGCAGCAGCGAGTGTCGCATTATTCCGAATGCCCTGGCATTCTGCTGCTTAAAGGAGACAGCAGCAGCCGCAGCAGCAGAAGCAGCCCTGCCTCTAACAGATGCAGCAGCGCGTAGGGGACGCATCGACGGCTGCGCGCTGCTGTCTGTCTCCCTGCCGCTGCAGCAGCAGCAGCAGCAGCAGGTGGAGGTGAGGGGGAAGAAACCCAAGGGAGGCTGCTGCTGCTGCTGCTTCCCGCTGCTGCAGCACGAGCTGCCTCGATACATGGTGGTTCTGCATATCGACGGGGCCTTGCGGCTGTACGCAGGTAATTTGCTGCTGCAGCAGCTGCTGCTTATTCACCCCGAAGGAAGTTTGCTGCAGCCTGCTGCTCCTGTGGCGATCTCCACACCAGCAGCAAATACCTTCACAGTCACGCTTCTTCTGCAGCGGCAGCAGCAGCAGCAGAAAGAGCAGCAGCAGCAGCAGCAGCAACAGCAGCAGCAACAGCAGCAGATGGGACTTCTTAGAAGCTACCGCTGCAGCGTGAGGCTGCAGCACAGCAGCTGGCTGCTGCAGAGCTGCATGCGGGTCCTCTTGGCGTTGCTGCAGCAGCCGGCAGCAGAAGTGCTGCTTGCTGCTGTCTTCCGTCTCTGTCAGTCGCCTGCCTGCCTTGCGCAGCAGCAGCAGCAGCAGCAGCAGCAGCAGCAACAGCAGCTTGCTGCAGCGGGAATAGAAGAATCCCTGGATGCCGCCTCGCTTGAGTGGAGCGCCTTTTGTCGGCTGCTTTGTTTTGAGGCTTTCTCCCCCTGCAGCAGCAGCAGCAGCAGCAGCAAGTGCAGCAACAGTAGCTGCAGCAGCGGCTGCAGCAGCGGCTGCAGCAGCAACGGCAACATCGAGCACTTTGCGGTTGCTGCAGCAGCTGCTGACCTGCTACAGCTCCATGCTGCAGGGCTATCACAAGAAGAGAATGTGCTGCCCAGACAGCAGCAGCAGCAGCAGCAGCAGCAGCCCCTGTCCAAAGCAGCGGTAGGGCCAGAAGCAGCAGCAGCAGCAGCCGCAGCAGCAGCAGATGCTGCAGCGTCTCCTGCGAAGCGTTTGAGAAGGTCGTCATTGTCGCAGCAACAACACGGAGACAGCTGCAGCAGCAGCAAGCCCTTCTTTGCTGCTTCTAGCTCTAACGATTATAGTTTAGGGGATAAGGCAGCAAACGCAACAAAATTGGCAGCAAGTGCAGCAGAAGCAGCAAGTGCAGCAGAAGCAGCAAGTGCAGCAGAAGCTAAAACTGCAGCAGCAACTGCAGCAGCATTGCGAAGTCTTGACGATGAAGGCCTGGGGCCGCTCGCCTCCATTATCTGCAGCACGCAGGAGATACTCCAGCAGCAGCAGCAGCAGCAAGCGCAGCAGCAACAGAGGCAGCAGCAGCAGCAGCAGCAGCAGCAGCAAGACAACGAAACAGCCTTCATTGCACATGCTGCTCCAGAAGCCCTTCGTTCTGCGCTGCAGTTCCCATCTGCAGCAACAGCAGCAGAAGCAGCAGCAACAGCAGCAACAACAGGAGCGGCTTCTGCTGCTGCTGCTGATGGTGTTTGCTGCTGCAGCGAGAGCGAACTCCCTGTGCTGGGGCTGCGGCAGCAGCTGCCCTGCATTTTTCTGGTGCTGCATTTGCTGCTAGAAGATTTGCTGCTGCGGGAGGTGTCTGCTGACCTCGGAGTGCATCGGCTTGTGCTGCTGCTGCATGCGCTTGCAGGTTTGCTGCAGCTGCCTCTCTTCGCCAGCTATTACCAGTGCTGCTTCGCGTCCACGTTGCAGCAACACAGCAGCAGCAGCAACAACAACAACAGATACAGCAGCAGCAGCAACAGCGTGAGCTGCAGCAAAAGACAAGGCTGCTGCAGCGCACGTTGTAAGGTGCTGCGGCGCCGCTATGCAGCAGCAGCAGCTGCTGCTGCTGTCGGGCAACTGCAGCAGGGTGTTGTTGATGCTGCTGCTGCTGCTTGCCGCTGCAGCAGCTGCGAGCCACCCCTCTTGTTGTGGCTGAGGCAGCTGCAGCAAGTACCTTCGTGCATTGACTTGCTGCAGCAGCTTGCAGGAAGGCGCCCTGCGCAGCAGCAGCAGCAGCAGCAGCAGCAGGGCTCCGCTGCTGCTGCAGCGCTGCAGCGGCTCACCAGGAAGCACGCAGCCCTGCTCGAGTCATTGGGTCTGCAGCAGCAGACACCTGGGGCAATCAGCA